GTTCAGTTCTTAAAGTTTATGAGAGTGAGACAATAATTTAATCCAGAGTTGATATACATATTTCTTCTGTACTACAGCAACGATTGGAATAATTGAAACTATTGGTCTCATTTATATAATAGATTGTGAAGCATTGAAGCCTGGCATTATTGACAATATATCATTAGTAATACGTATAAACATAACAAGACCATCATGAATTTAACAAGTAAACTTACTAAATTATATTATTTTTTAGAATCATCTCCGTTTGCAGTTGCACCTGCATATGTATTTTGACTATCATCATCAACTTTACAAATTTTATAAGCTGCTGCTGTTCTCTTTAAAATATTTGTATTTTTTTTATTAATGGAATAACTTTCAATACTACAACCTTTGCAACCAACATCGTCTTCACTGTGCGAAAGTTGAGAAACTAGCTTTTTCCATGTAACTGGAGAATATAACACATTTTTTCGTCCTTCAACATTTTTAATTGTTCTTTCTGTCAATGCTGTATTTTTATCACCAGGAAATACAATAAATATTACTAATGAACTTAATGAATTATTACAATCCATTTCGATCTTTCTTAACTCTGATACGGCATTTACGACCTCTTCTTCATTATTTTCATAAAGACTTATAAATATTATGTCATAAGCGAATTGTTTATGTGACTCTGCAAGATCTTTTGCTTTTTGAATACCTTTATCAAATTTATCAAACGCATCAACATTTTCAATACTTTTAAGATATTTAGTTATTGCATTTCTTGCATTTTCAACAGGATGAATTATTAATATTCGTTTTGATTTGATTGAATTCGGTAATAAATAACTTATTTCTTCATCAAATAGTGTTTCCTTATACGTTGTACTTTGATATTTTGCTAAAGATTGTAATAATTCGATATTCCATGTAAGCCAAAATTTACTTCCTTTTCCTAACTGACTTTCTACTTTAATTTCACCACCATTAATTGCTACTAAATTTTTACTGATTGAGAGACCAAGTCCCGTACCATCATGTTTCCTAGTTAATGCCGTGTCACCTTTTGTAAAGCTTTCCCAAATATGTTCAATAAATTCAGGATCAATGCTATTATTAAATAAATTGTTAAAATGATATAGATAAAAGAACTTAAAATCACGTATAAATAATTATTATCTACGTAGTTAATTTACCCAATGCCAGTATCAGATAATTCTATTAGTAAGCAATCCGTTTTAACTGTTTGACCATAAGTTGGGCTCTCTTCATTTTCATCAACGATTTCTCGTGGTTGCGTTGAAACATTCATTACGACTTCACCTTTTTCAGTAAATTTAATACTAAAAAAAAAATTGGATAAATTACTATTTATATGATAATAAACGATAAGAACAATATACTTACGAATTTGACAGTAGATGATTTAAAACTTGTCTCAATCTATATAAATATAATAGAGATAGAGTAAATTCTATAGTATTATTTTTACAAATCATTCTTGTGCAATGAAAATAATTAAATTACCTATCAGGATCACTTCTAACATATCTCGGCAACTTATCTACTTCACAACTCAAAATTAACTCAATTTGTTTCTCCCCAGCTCCTTCTCCAAACTGTTCAATAGTTTCTGATAATAAACCCAATAAATTAAATGTTCTATTTATTAACGTGATTTTTTGTGCTTCTAATCTTGCTGCATCTAGAATATCGTTGACTATGGACAATACAATATCCGAAGCACGTGCCATAATATTTATCATATCCCTTTGATCTCCATCATCATCCAAACCAGTGCTCTCTAAAGAAGAAAGTATGCCTACTATTGCTCCTAGTGGATTTCGTAATTCTAAAAATATATATTTGAATAAATTAATTAGAACTATTTAAACTAATTAAAAATACGACAAAACTTTCATAAATTTTATACCATGAGAAGTACGAGCCAGTATTTCACTTTTATCATTATTCGCTTTTTCAGCAGCTTTTATCTGTATTTCTTGTTCTGAACGTTCTTCACATAATTTAGCATGAATACTAGCCAAATTTATTTGATTTGAAATTTGTTGTAATAGTTCTATTTCTGAATTGAGCCAAATAGAATTTGGTGATCGAAATGCCTTTATCCATCCCCAACGATCATTATTCACTTTTATTTCTACAGATAACATAGACACATTATTACAAATATCTTTGCAATATGCATCATTTAAAATTTCTACTTTAAAATTATTATTTAAAAATTCTTGCGAATTGATATTTGTCGGTGATTTGATATCATCATCAATCTCTAATAGTTGTAGTGGCTCGGTTATCGACGTAATACATGGCGAATCTTCGTATATAGTATGAAGTATATATTCGGATGGTTCACTTGAAACAATAGATATTCTTTTACACGGTAATATATGATGAATTTCTTTGGCAACACATGAAAGAATTTCTCTTAATTTAATTCCAGATAGAATTTTGCTTGAAATTGAAAGTAACAAAATATTTGTTGCTTCATCATTACGTCGTTGTAATGATAGCTTATTGCGAAGTTGAGAAAGTTCTATATTAGCATGAATACGTGCGATTAACTCTCGTATACAAAATGGTTTTACTAAATAATCATCTATTTTATCCGATCCTAAAATAAGTAAACAAAAATCAGAACGACGAAGTAATGCGTAGTTTATTATCATAGAAGCGAACTCAAGTGATGTAATTGATCAAAACTGTACTTCACTCCGGACAGTAAATATTAGGTAATGCGTAACGTTAACTAGGGATGCTAATGACTCGACTCAAGTCGATGACTTAGGATTTTAAGTCGATAAATCAGGTTATAATACAGTACGTACGAGCCGACTTGAGCCGCAAAAGTCCGTGCAAGTCGAGTCAAAGTTGGTCGGGTCAAGTCGTTAGCATCCCTATGCGTATCTAGGGTTATGAATAGTCCGGACCGATTTGACTCGACTCCAAAGTCGAGTCTTTATTAAAGTTCAGTCAGATGTCAAACTTGCATTTACACGTGCATCTTTATAGCGTAAGAATCGCATGCAAAATATGCATGAGTACACATGTTTCTGCAATCTTAAATGTATGCACATATGAATGCGACTTTTGCCGAATTTTAATAAAGACTCGACTATCGAAGTCAGTCGATCCGGTCCGGACTTTTCACATCCCTTACGTAATAATGTCCGGCTATACATGTGATAATCTTCATGAAATTGACCAATCAGCATCATGAAAGAGAACATGCAGATTTCTTCACTACACGCTCGAAAAAAGTATCCTTTCACTTAAACTTATACAGGAGGTCCCTAAAATTCCGGGTCGGAATCAACAAATTTTGCTAATGAAGGCATAACCTATTATTAAATAAATAAATAAAAATGCCCAGATGATAATTTGCCGGCCAAGCTCGACCCGGAATTTTGGAGATTGGCCTGTAAAAAATCTTAGCGTCGCTCCAGACAATCAATAATTTAATAATCACAAGTAAATTAAATTACCTTCAATACTAGAGATTTCTACATCCTTTGTGGATAATAAAATAATGGGAATTGATTGAGTTTTCGTATCTGATTTTAATATTTCTAATAGGTCGTATCCATTCACGTTTAACATCATAGCATCTATATAAATTTAATAATAATAATTATTATTGTATATCGAAGAATGGAAGAATATTATGATTATATAATTACCACTAAGAATTAAATCGGGCAGTTTATTAATGCTTTTTAAAGTTTGTGTAGCTTCCTGACCGTTGCAAACATTATGCACGTCAAACTCATTTGATAAATCCACAAGATAATCTCTATAAATGCGTATAACAGGAATAAGAAATTAAATTAGTAAAGTACAATATCTTAAAAGTCTAAATTTAAAAAAATTTATACCGTATATCAACAATGTCATTAATAAGCAATATTTGATATTTTTTCTTGGCAGTAATCACGGGAATATTTATAGAAACAGTATCGTCCGTTGACATTTTATCAGTATTGTCAGAATTATCAGTATCCATGCTGTTATCACCTATTATAATATCATTATTTTCTGAATAAAGCTGTCGCTTTGAATATAACCTCTGATCTTGATTTGTCAAATTTTCATCAACATTATTGCATATTTCATTTATTGGTAAATGACGACAACCTACTGGAAACCAACATTTAAACGTTGTCCCCTGATTTGCTACGGAGGTCACAGTAATATCTCCACCATGACGAGTGACAAGTTTTTTGATAAGAGCAAGTCCGACATAATTGCCTAAGCATTGGGATTCCACATAAGAAAACCCCCGGAATATGTTGGAAAGAACGTCTTCTGGGATATTTTCACCTGAATTAAGCCAATAAATTATTAATTCAAATACATAAGAATTATATGTTTAATAAAATATATATTAACCAGAATCAGACACTTCAAGAGCTATCATCTTTTTTTCATCTTTGCAGTCAAGATATAAACGGATACTGATATATCCATTTGATGTACGCTTTATTGCATTCGAAACTTTAAATGATAGAAGTCATTGTTAAGAATGTAAGAATTTTTACGAATTTAAATTTAAAAAAAGATTACTCGTCTTTGTTATAAAATGCTTACAAAGGTTAAACATTATCGCTTTATACATATCGTGGTCCAAGTAAACTTTGTCGCCCACAACTTGATTAAAATCAGTTGGATCAGGGATATTTGCATCATAATCTAGATGTAATATTTTAGCCATATTTTCAAAATTAATGGCTAAATCACGAGTAAGTTGAGCTATGTTCGTTTCACAATAACGTGCGCCTAATCGATTAGCTTCTATACTTAAAAACTGTTAATGAGAATTGAGTAAAATAATTAATAAATAATAAATAATATATAATATATAATATATAATATAATATTTGATATGGAAAATTATGATACCTGAAGTAAAATGCCAATATTAAGTTGCATAATTTTAAGACTCGATATTAATGGTGCGTACTGCGGACATTCATTAATTATTTCGTCAAGTGGTGAGAGCATCAACGTCAATGGTGCTATTACAATTAAAAAAAATATATATTTAAATATTTTGTCATATATGTTTACCATATATACTTATCATATTATCATGTCTATCAAATTTATCATGTTTTGTGCGAAAGAAATCTTTGTAATACTTTGTAATGGGTCACAGATATTTTGGAAGAACAAGTCTTTTTGACTATTTAAACTGGCATGTATTTCCGATCGTTTTTGTTCTTCCATTGATTTTCCATGTGTCAAGCATAAATTCATTTGACTTACGACCAACTAGCAAATTATAGTATGGTTAAGTATTTTTTGGTTTTGTTTTTTATTATTATCAATCGATAATTAATTATAACCAACGATTATATAAAAATTTTGATTTGCATACTTTTAAAAATCCCATATAATGGTCGTCAAGTTTTCTGTGTGAATTAATACCGCAGATCAATATAGCTGTTAAAGGTTGATCACAGGAATAAATTTTTGTCGGTAAAAGCACTGCTTGAGAACCATCTTTTAGGACAACCTTTACATGTTTATCATCCTTTATTACAAGATCGATTGGCCAAGAATTGCATATTGGGAGCGAACCAGTCGGTGTCACTTGTTTTACATAAGAATTGTAATTCTCATCAATATCTTTGGGTAAATCAATTATTTCAGGAGTTTCAGGAAAATAATCAGGAAAACGCCTTTTTACTTTTCCACAGACAACTTTCCCATTTTTATAGTCATCATCAAAAGTTGTAACGGCTAAATGAGCGACATGAGATTTAAAACTTGACAAAGATTTTTTACTATCATTATTTTCGACAAGATAAATTAATGCATAAGGAATATCAGCATTATTGTGTAAAACTGTCTTCATAATTTGGCAGGAGCTCGCTAAGGACACAGCATCTTTAAAAACATTAAACGTAATATAAGTATGTTAAGATTTTAAATAATTTTAAGAAAATAATTAACCACTAACCAGAAGTTCTACACCTAAGTTCTTCAAGAGTTCTTAATCTTTGTACGTTTAAAGCTTTTTGAGTAACATCGCGCATTGCATTAAGTACACCACAAACAGTACCGTCAGATGTGAACAATGGACTAAGAGTATAGTCAAAGTATGCTTCTTCAACATGTCCATTGCGTTGAAATTTAAAATATTTATCATTTTCAACCATGCCTTTACCTGTTTCTCTTATGCTAAATAGTTAACGAATATACAATATATATTTTATTTAATAAAAAATAAAATTATGTTAGCAGTTTATATATGTAAGCCGTACATAATTGTCCAACTTACTTTTCTAATTTTGGTTTAAGAACATTGTCATACATTTCAGGCCAAACCTGAGCAGCAGGTTTTCCCAAGGCTATTTAATGGTAAGATCATACATATATTTAGCTTGATAAGTAATGTCATAATGCGTAAGTGTCATAATGAACATGTGATTATTACTGACCATGTTGATTATTTGTCATTAATATTGATCTCCACGCTATTTAAAAAAGAAATCACATTTAAATACATTTATTATTATTTAAAAATTGTTTATGGCAGAAAAAAATAAAAAAAACCAATAATTGATTACCTTCATTGTATATCAAAGTCCAATCAGGACCTACATATAGAACAATAGGGAATGCGGTTTGGAGGCATAAATTCTAACAAAGGCACGTGATTTGTGAATCATGAAATTTAAAAAATCCCGACAACCAAAGTCCCAATAAGGACGAGTTAGCTCACATTAACAATAATGCAAGCCAATTTTGTCGTTATTACATTGTTTATAAGGATTCTATATGTCGGGATTTTGTGTAGACACATTTTTAAATTCATTTATATGAAGTTTTATAAAATTTACCACAGTGGCTTTGAATGCAGGTTCCCATGAGACCATGGGACCAAGTGAAGTTGTTGACCAGTCATAATCATGGAATATATCGACAAGGTTTGATTCCTCATTCTCAGTCTTGCCTCCGTTGTTGGTCAAAGGTAGCAACATATAAGCTTAGAAATGAATGACAAAACTATCAAAAGAGAAAGGTCAATAAGTTAGATATAAAAAAATAAATTAGATGTAAAAAAATATGTAGAGAAAAGAAGAAAAAAATGTGCGTACATGTGCAGAATGCTTTGCTAATTATTTAGAGAATGATTATAAAGAAAAAAAAAACAAAACTTTAGCATTTAGATATGCTGTTTGCAAAAATGCAAAATTTTGTTTTAAGAATTGGGCTTTTATATAATTGTTAGGAATTTCTTTCTTTTCGTATCCGCATACGTATTACAAATACTATCATTGTGCAGTTTCTTGCATAAAACAGTACCATTTAAAATTTAATAACATTTCTTGCTTAACAACTTGTAAGCACGCGTTTGTTAAACATTACTATTTTAAAATATGCGGCGTAATGTTGAGAAACAAAGTAAATTGGTTTTATTTAACAAAGTCTCGTAGTACTTACCAATCTTTTAACATTAACTTTGAAATCCAACTTTTTTCCTCTCGTCTCTTCTAAAAGTCAAGGCGAAAACATATAAGTAATTATTATATACAATGGAAATAATCACTTTCTTAATTTGCTTCGTGTCATACATATTACTTAATGATTAGTAATATTTTACGTAAGCAGGACACTGTAGTACAGTAGGGAAATATCGCAGTCGAAGATTTTACTGGCATATGAATAACAAAAACCCTAAGTATTCAACGAAGCATATCAAATGACATCAATTACATGCGCATTTTATTTTAATAACTTCGGAGTAATAATGGCGAAGAATCAAATACAACTAATATAATTAATATAAATTTTAACAAATAAACCAAATAGACTAACTTAATTTTGCTAAATTAAGTTAATTTCATTTATGCAAAACGGCAAATAATTTATTCCTTTAGTATGCTTTTTTATTCATCCAATAAATATTCATGAAAAAAAATTATATTCTTTGAGTACGTACGTACTGGAACGTACATACGTAATTGAAACGTAGGAATACAAGCAGTATAATAAACCAGTACAATTAATATAACACAACACAATGAACATTTTACAAGGAATAAAATTCATTTTATATTACATGAATGAATAACTACATGGGTACCAAACAAAAGGGGATATCTTGATCCGCGGGGATGTTCCATAATGTGATTGACTCGTGCATTATTCGTACACTCTTGTGCAAATTGTTGAATGAAAAATTTATGCATGTCTATATTTAAAATAAAAATAAAAAAAATTAAAAAAAATTGATATACGTGTAGAGTTAGTTTTTTATGCACATTAGTAAGTCTTTAATGTTCACGCTTAAATTTTTTAAGTAAGGATCGTAAGAGTCGAATTCTTTTTTATCTTCAGACGATTCTAACCGAATTTCTTTAGGATCGACTGCAGAAGGATGTTGCAGAATTGTAGTGCAAAATCTTGGTGTTGTAAACAATTGGCCAATTTAAATATTCTTTTAGATAACACATCCAAAAAAGCTATAGTTTAAAATTTGATCGTCCCGCCGTTTACCCCAATGACCTTTCAGAGATCTGGCGTAACATGACGCACTATTACACAGATCGCGTGGTATTATGCAGTTGGGCTTTTCAAAGATTTAATAACGGATATTGGCGATTTTATAGATGGAAAATCATAGATCATAGGAAGAAGATTTTCGTGTGATTAACTATCTAATCCTACATTATTTATACTATTTACCCTTAAAATATTTCAAAAAAAATAAACAATAAAAAGTATTACAAAGTTTTATAATTTTATCCTAATATTGTTGTATATAGTATATAACTGATAAAAAATAGTAAAAAATTTTTAATTAAAAATGGTGTTTAGGCTGGCGTCGCAAACTTAATTAAATTTAATTGCTAAAATAATTACTTTACAACTAATATAAAAATTACAATATTTACAAAAATTACACTAATATAATAATTTGTCGTTGATAAATAGTATTATCACTATTTTATGAAAAAAATTGTATGATCAATTAAGCTATTGCTCTCTATGATATAAACCAAAATAATTTTATTATACTGAAATCTCTTTCGAGCTTGTTCTTATTAGTATGATCGATGAACTAGCTTCTACAAATTTATTTATAAACATGTCAAACCAACTATCTCAAAATAATACGTATTTAGAAAACAAAATAGAACACTAAAATGAAAAAATGCATGTCGCCTAAAAAAAATGTTACTAATGCCCCGTAGTGTAACTTGCCATTATTGTATTGGAGCTGTGAACATCTTGTAGAAATAGAAGCTCATCTTGCAAATATTTGTTCTGATGTTCCTAAAGATATAAAAGAACATTGGCAAGGGTTACTAATACAAGCGAACATAAAGTTCAAATCAAAAACAATTAAATCAACGTGATCTATCACTACAAATCTATTTTAAAAACTTTATATTTAATTGATGTAATGCTTTTTATTGTACATAGTTTAAATAAACTTGTACTTATAATGCAAAAATTATTAAAAATACTGTACAAAAAATAAAATTAATTTTGATTTTTGCTTTTATAATACCCAAATTAATTTAATTAAGTTTGTAACGCTAGTCTATGAATAACCATCTACTGGTTAATATGAGGTTTATTTCTATATGACAAATGAATTCTAATCACGCAACGTGACGGTAAACAAATATTTAAAGCCCGCTAATGATTAGTAATAATGATTACTAATCATTAGAAAGACCTAAATATTAATTGTCACGCTACGTGATGTCAGCCGGAATTCAATTTGCTTTAAGTTTGATTCTTTATTATAACTTACTAATCGGGGTAACAAAAGGTGATTAGTAATAATAATATCCCGATTCATTGGGGATTAGCAAAAACGAAATTTCCGCTTATTCACATATGAATCGGGATATTATTCATTAATTCCCCGTGATCTTGGCATAGTGATCGGGTATTAATAAATAATTTTATCACACTTTACTAACAAATAAATATCACTGTATGAATTGGTTAAAAGTTAATTTGTGAGAACTTAAATATCTGACCGTTTCTTAACTTATATTAGTGTCCGCCGAGCTATACTAAAAGTAGCTTATTATGATTTCATAATAATCTATTTTTAGAATTTCCGGTTTTCACTTATTAATAATCATATATTTATTAAAAATATATCATTTGTTATAGACCATTGGTAGCTTGTGCACGCGATATAGTGATAAGTAATTCAACTTAAATGGATATAAAAATGGTTCGTAGTTGAATAATGCAAATGCCACTATAACGAAGTTTTCAAGTGTAAGCAAAATGTGATATAACGAATCAGTAGTGAAATACCATGATATTAGTAGTTTTATACTATATCACAAAGTATAATCTATATAAAATTCTTAATTGAACAATATATTTAAATTATATAACTCAATATAGTTATTAATATAGATCTATATATATTTTATATAAAATCATATAATTTTTAATTTCATTTTACAGAAATTAGAAAACTTTTTTTAATAAGTTTAAAATAATATTAAAAATATTGATATAATGTTTATATTAATTTATTGTAAATTTAAGATTTAATATATAAAAATAGGCCAATTTCTATTTGGACACTAGGTGTATTAACACTTTGTTACACAAATTAATTAGAAAAACTAATTAAAATATCAAACTAAATGCAATATGTATACTATTTTTTGTGTAACAAAATAAAAAAAAACATAATTTTAAAATTTTGCTTATAAATTATTTTTCAAGCTCTAAAAAAAATTCTTTGCAAAATTTTGGTATAAACTATAATTTATTCTATTTTAAACTCTAACACTAATTAAAATTATTTTTGTTATTGTTTTTTTTTAGTATTAAAATGATCTCTATGTTTTATTAGAGTTTATTTTGGTTATAGTAAAGATACATCAAGCCACACATGCATTTTTGGCATCTAATTTAAATAGTTTGCTTATTAAGGGTTCTACACTATTTGCTATATCTATAACTCAACTATGGGGCTACCTATTTAAACTCACTGACTATAAGCTTATTTCAAGCCATTAGGGATTTTAACCCTGGTATTACTTGATATTTGGTAATATAATTTGCATCTATTTGGATTTTGCACCCTCTTTAGAAATTACTAACTCTAGGCTAGTTTATTCTTTAGAAAACCTACTAGAGCAATACATATCTATTTATATATTTGTCTAGATTTTTTAGTAATATATATTACAACTTAACTTGGTACTTGGGAGTTATCCCTACAGTTACCTACTATTGCTTTTATATAGTTTGCTATTATTAAATTTAGTACTTCTCTTTTCTTATTATAGCTTTGGTTTTACCAAACTACCAATCTAGTTGGCTTGGTAGAGCTGGTTTTCCCAGGCTTTATATACTTTATAGTCTTTCTTTCCTTGGTATATGCTTTTGGAGTATATGTTTTTTTTCTTTGGTGAAACTTTAATCATTAGGAGAATTAAATAAATACAAATCTGCAAAAACCTGCAAAAATACAAATTTTTTTATAAAAACCTGCAAAATTTTTATATTTTAAAAATTTGTTCAAAATTGTTATTTAATTTCTGTAACTATAGCTGGTAAGTCTGAAATTTTGTGCAGATTTTTATTTAATTTATTATTTAATTTTTTTGCAAATCTGTACAAAACAGCATTAAAAATTTTTTTCAATAGTAGCCAAGTTGATAATTTCTATTTTGAGATCTTATAATTTCTAGTTCCTCCAGTTTTTAGTTTAGTTTAATTCAGTTTTTTAGCATTTGTCATATTTTTACTATTCTAAACCTGGGTCTTTCAAGCCAATTCTGAATCTTCAACTTCTCTTTTGGTTTTATACATTTTTAGTTTTTTTATACAATCCATATTACACAAATACTTTCAAAATCTTCTAGTGCACTAATAGCACTAGTGTTACTGAAGTTATAGGTCCTAGAATCTAACTTATTGATGAAGATTTGTTACTGTAATACAAGTATTTTGTTTAAACCATT